TAATTGCTAATTTGCATAACAATTCAACTCAGTAAGAAGTTTACTAATGCTCATAATTAAAATGGCTGTAACAGTTCCAAAGTGAAATGTATTATCGTATTGTTAAAAGTTAAATATAGTGCATAATATGGAGATCCCGTCATTTCTTTTTTTCACCATGTTTCTTTTTTATTATTTATGTACAGCCTTGCTAAATCTTGCTAAGCATTCAAAAGAGAGAATGTTTGCACCTGTTATCTATATTTTAAAATCGTTTTTTGAGTATGTTCCACTATTCACAATTCTACAAAATGTTAACAGTCCATAGCCAAGACTGTTTGGATAATAAAAAGCAACAAAAAAAAATTTCACTCCCAAGTGCCCACGAACCTGCATCTCTACCTTAATTAATGCTGTTCCAGAGCAATATCTCTTAGTACATGTATACTCATTTAACGATCAGATACAAGATGACTGAATGTCGATCATTTTAATGTTAAAAAATCATCACCAAACATCAGCTTCTGGATTATCATATCTCTGACACGTTTATGTTCCAACTATATTACTACATTATAAACAAAACTATATATCTTAAATTTGAACTGTGCCATGCATGGCTTGTGAATTTCAGTTTTACCGTCTATATGTTGATGACCCTTAGGTCATCCCACCTTTTATTATATGGGTGATTTTCAACATTAATTTACTGGTACTTACACTCTATAATCACAGCCATGTCAAGTGTTACCTGAATAGAGGCAAATTCTTTCATTGTAGCGATACAATTTTATTGGTTACAACCAACTTTTGTAAAAAAAAAAAAATGTTCAGTTGCTAAATATACATTCAATAAAATATCCAACATATGGAAACCCAAATATTTATAGATATATGATAAAAAAAACATAGAAATATATGAGCTTGTTAAAATATTTTATACTCATAAACACTGATATTCAATTTAAGTGAAATTTTTCTTTTGCCTCGTCAGCCATTTCAATTGATAACAACTTGAAGTCAGCCCATGGCATAAATACTTTGTATTAAAATAACTGTGGCTGACCATAGAGGATATTGTTAATGTGCCCCTGGCTTAATTGTTTGATATTCCAGTCTCAGTTAATGTTGATATCGCAGAAACTTGAACATTGGTGGCATGTTTTTAGTTTGTTGCACTTGAAGATTATTTCCACTGTGATTTTGATATACCCCCGGTACAATTGTAAAATACTTTATTTTTGCTTGGAATTAATTTTCGCTATTTTTGCTGAAGGAATGATTCAGTGAAATTAAAACCCACCGAATATAACTTTTTTTCCTATATTTTACATTTAACTCGCCAACAATTAGTGAAAATAAATTCCATACAAATGTCCTTTCAGCGAAAATTAATTCCAGCTAAAATAAAGTATTTTACAGTATTTCGCAAATGTGCTCTTGTATCTATAAGGTCATCATTGTTATCCCTAATTTGTTATGGTTTAATCTGATTATAAGATAGATAGCTGTCAAGTTTTTGCTGTATGTATATACTTGTACAAAATATTACTATATACTTTTGACACGGGACTGTGCTTTTCATTATATTGTTTGTTATAATACATGCATTTCTATGGGTGTCCCACGGGATTCAATGTTCAATAATACATGCATTTCTATGGGTGCTCCACGGGATTCAATGTTCAATAATACATGCATTTCTATGGGTGCTCCACGGGATTCAATGTTCAATAATACATGCATTTCTATGGGTGCTCCACGGGATTCAATGTTCAATAATACATGCATTTCTATGGGTGCCCCACGGGATTCAATGTTCAAT